GAGTCCCTTCTCATTGAAGAGTTCTCTCTTGGAACCAAGGTTGGCTCCTTTTACCTTCCTGCCATGGAAAGGCTTGTCTGGGCTTCGGCCTTTGCCAATGACTCGGTGGAGCTGTTGAGGGTGGTTGAGGGCAAAGCTGAAGCTGCCTAAAGCAAAAAGTTTGGAGGTGAGAGGTGATGAGAAGTAGGAAGGGAAGAAGCTAAGAAGGTAGGAGGGCAGGCAGGAAGGAAGGAAGGCAAGAAGGTGGGGTAGGAGGGAGGGAGGGAGAAAGCTAGGGGAGCGCGGAGAGGCAGAGCAGGGAGGAAGGGAGCGGAGAGGGGCAGAGCGAAGGACACTATCTCGACGAGCGGCGGCAGGAGAGCCGCCCCCACCGCGCGGGGCTGCGCGCTGGGCAGAGGCGGCGGGGATGGGCGGGCGCGGGGCGGCTCCGCCAGCCGCCGTCCTCCGAGCTTCGGCCGCCTCCCGCCGCGCTATATAGGGGAGGGAGGGGTGGTGGAGCGGGGGGTGCCCGGCGTGGCCRAACCGCACGGGGCGCCGATGCCTCCTGCCAGGGGAGCGCACAAGTGACCGGCGCCTCTTCCCATGTCTGTCTCCTGAAGCGACCCCCCCTCACCCCCGGCCGGCATGGATGTGGCCAACAACACTACCTCCCCAGCGCGCTCCCCCGAGGGGACAAGCGGCCCCAGCCTCGCCGAGGTGACCCTGGGCTACCAGGTGCTCACTTCCCTGCTCCTGGGCACGCTCATCCTGTGCGCCGTGAGTGGCAACGCCTGCGTGATCGCAGCCATCGCCCTGGAGCGCTCCCTGCAAACCGTGGCCAACTATTTGATCGGCTCGCTAGCCGTCACCGACCTCATGGTGTCCGTGCTGGTGCTGCCCATGGCGGCCCTCTACCAGGTGCTGAACAAGTGGACGCTGGGGCAGGTCACCTGCGACATCTTCATCTCGCTGGACGTGCTGTGCTGCACCTCTTCTATCCTGCACCTGTGCGCCATCGCCTTGGACAGGTACTGGGCTATCACGGACCCCATCGACTATGTTAACAAGCGAACTCCCCGGCGGGCGGCCGTGCTCATCAGCCTGACCTGGCTTATCGGCTTCTTGATATCCATCCCGCCCATGCTGGGCTGGAGGACGCCGGAGGACCGCTCCAACCCCGACGCCTGCACCATCAGCAAGGACCACGGGTACACCATATACTCCACCTTCGGCGCCTTCTACATTCCGCTTCTTCTCATGCTGGTGCTCTACGGTCGCATCTTCAAGGCGGCACGCTTTAGGATCCGCAAGACAGTCAAGAAAGCAGAGAAGAAAAAGATCGCCGACACCTGCCTCACCCTCTCTCCGGCCACAGTGAAGAAAGGCAACGGGGAGCCCGGCAAGGGCTGGCGTCGGACTGTAGAGCCCAAGCCCGGTGCTTGTGTCAACGGCGCGGTGCGGCAGGGCCAGGACGGGACCGCCCTGGAGATCATCGAGGTCCAGCACTGCAACAGTTCCTCCAAGACTCACCTGCCGCTGCCCAGCGAGGCGTGCGGCTCCCCGCCGCCGCCCGCGTTCGAGAGGCGCAACGAGAAGAACACGGAAGCCAAACGGAGAATGGCTCTGTCCCGGGAGAGGAAGACTGTCAAGACCCTGGGCATCATTATGGGCACCTTCATCCTCTGCTGGCTGCCGTTCTTCATCGTGGCCCTCGTCCTGCCCTTTTGTGACAGTAAGTGCTACATGCCCGAGTGGCTGGGGGCAGTCATCAACTGGCTGGGCTACTCCAACTCCCTTCTCAATCCCATTATCTATGCCTATTTCAACAAAGACTTCCAAAGTGCTTTTAAGAAAATTATCAAGTGCAAATTTTGTCGGCAGTGAAGCCCGCCACTCCGGGACGGGGCAAGCGAGGTCCTTGCTCCACCCGCCTGCCCCGCGCCGCAATGTGCYCCCGCCCAGCCCCTGCACAGCGCCGTCCGAAGGGCGGGGGACTCCGGCATCCCCGTTCCGCGCAGCGCGCCCGAGTATCTCGCTCTTACACCCGCCGGACAAGCCCCGCAGGTCACGGCAGGGATCCGCTGGGAACGGCGGGGGATGCCCGGCCCGGGAGGGTTCCGCGGCCGCCCTCGTCTCTCCCGGCCTCCGCTGCCGGGTGCCGGCCCTCCCGCCTCCCTCCCACTCTTCTCCATCATTCTGGGTAGACTTAGGGTTTGCAGGTCGTTGCTTTGCGGTGGCTGTAAACCACAGTGTCTACCCGAGTAGCACCGGTAAAAACAAACCACCCTATGCAGGAAACCACCGTGTCGGGGATTATTCTTGGATTTACGAGGCGACGGCGGTGGACTGAGTCCAGCCTCGGTCTGGCAGTGTGAGTATGGAGGCTGAAGGCGACTCCTCGAGCGGAGGAATGAGCTTTGGGTGCGTTGCTTCCCAGGTTGTGAAACCCTCAAGTGGATGTTCTTGGGGGAAAACCGACCGCGTTTGGCAATCTTGCAAAGTACTTATAGCAACGTCCCCGTCTGCGTTATGTGTGCCTGACAGCTCTCCTGCTACGCTAGGACCTTCCAGTTCACCGGGGTTCCCTTTGTTTCAACACAGGGAAATGATGGGACTTAAACCCCAACCGCACGCCTCATTATATATGGAGATTTATGGGGATTATTTTTTTTAAATGCCTTTGACCGAGTGTTTCCCAGCAAGGAAAGGCTTGGCGCCGTGCGACTGTCCCTGAGTACACCGCGCACGCAACGGCACAGGGAGTTTGAGCAGCCTGAGAAGTAGCTTTTTGTTTTCTTTTTTTTTTCTTCCTTAAGCCGCTTGAAAGTTTCTCCTGAGACGTTGCGGTTGCTTCGGAGGCAGTCAGCTGCGGCACATTTTGCTCGGGGGGTAAAAAAAAAAAGAGAAAGACAAACAACAACAAAACGATCCAAACCGATCAACCAAAACATTGCCATGTGCTCCGTGGCAGTAGGGGAGGGGCCGAGAGCATCAGCCAGCGGCAGTCGCAGGTGGGGAAAACAGCGTCTCGGCRCAGACGGGGAAGGGGCAGGCTCTCTCCTCCTCCCGGCCAGCCCAGGCGAGGGTCGTGCCTACCCGCAGTCTGAAAGCCACGGCCAGAAGCAGTTAGCGTCCTGAGGGTTCTCCTTGCCTGGYCTGGCCGGTCCCCGGGGCGACTCTGTAATCCTCCGCCCAAAAAAGGGTCCCCCCTCTGCCACTAGCCCAGCTGCTTGGCTCCGGGAAACCCAGTGTACTTCCCCTTCCCCGCCTGGCCCGGGGTTGGGGCAGGACTGCGTTGCCCACCGCACAGCCCCCCTGCCCCTCCASTGCCGTGCCCTCTCCCGCCGGCTGCGGTCGGGACTTGGGGCCGCTTTGGGCCCGGGGAGGAGGGGAAGGCACTGGGCCGGGTACCGGCACTGGGCCGGCTGCCGCTTACCCCTGCGACGGGTTGCCTGGAATGAATGCTTGACCAAATAYATATATATATATTTTTCTTGTTTATTTTTGTGAAATCTGTGTTGCTTGTAAGTAAAAGGGAATGTGAAATATGTGTGTCACGTGAATGTAAGTGTCMAGTAATTTCTGAACTTCAACTGCTTACATTAAACGAAAATAGTGCTTTTGACAACCTCGGATATGTAGCTGCTTTCCTGAAAATCTTACTTGGCCTCATTTTCGCAATTAAAGTGATCTTTGATCTTATCTCTTCTTTGATCACTCCTAGCCACACGTGCCCTAGATGTTCCTTAAGTGTCGGAGTATCAGAGGAAGCCATTAGCCTGAAGCGATTAGGGATCCGAAACTTCTCCTGAGCTCTCAGGTACACGATGACTTTGGGAGCACCCCGCTCCGCGGGTGGGGCTCGGCAGAGCTGCCGCCCGCCCCGGGACAGGGAAGCGAGGGGGATTGGGAGGGCCCGTACGTCCCGGCGGGATCGCTGCCTGCAGCGCTGTTTGCTTCTCTCACTACCTCCTTCCTTGAACCGCGCCGACTCCGCGTCGGCTTCTGCACGTTTTACCTTTATCCAAATAATTATTTTTCTTTGTAAACCTTCCTGTAAAGTGCTCGGCAACGATCCCAGCGGGGAAAGCGTGGCCGCCCTCCGGACCCGAACGATAGACCGCGCGGGGTCCCCTCTGCTGCCCGGGGTCTGGCTCCTGACTTCGGGGTGGGGCGGGATGGGGCCCCCCGACTTCGTCGAGAGTCCCTGGAAGCAGGGCACACCCCGAGCCGCATCAGACAGGGCAGCCTGAGAGAGATGGCCCTTTTGTGCCCGCTGTGTGTCCCTGGCCCGCCCACGCTGCAGGGCTGCGGTGGCGGGGGTACGAGGGCACCCCGAACGCGTATCTCGGGCTGTCTCGCCCCAGCTGCTCCAGCTCCTG